TTTTGTTTCTAATCGGGTCGGGGAAGGAGGTAAGAGAGGCGGTGGCGTGGATGGTAGCGTGCGGCGGGGGCGCGTTTTTGGTATGATAATGAGTGGAGTGGGATTGTGGCGGCGGTGGTGTTGGTGCGGCGGTGAGCGCGTCTCATGGAATGGCAGATCTTGGTAGCTACGGTAATGCCGACCGCGACATCGAGCAGGTGCGTCTGCTGTTTGGTTCGCTTAATTAGGTGTGATAGTTTGACAATTTGCATTCTAAAGACTCGATTTTTAGGGAAGGTTTTGCACGTTTTCCTCTAGATTTTTCTGGGCTTTTGGTTTACCTAGAAATTCTGGTTTAGATTATCCCGTGATTCTTGTTTGAATTTTTACCTGTTAGTATGTGCATATATGTTTCCAAGATTTGGGGAATGAATTTGGGACCCTAATTGGAATTTGGAGGGAATATATCTATTATCTGTTTCAATGGGTCCAATTGTATTTGACACATTCTATATATATCTAATATCTAATACCTGTTACGATGGGCCCAATTGCATTTCACACATTCTATCTTTAGATGCCGGTTGTCTAAATTCACTGGGCTCAGACTATAAAAATATTTGGGAGCTTTTGTTGGATGCGCTTTGACAACTATATAATTTTAGTAATAATAATTATGGTGTCTCCCATTTAAGTAGTTTTAGTATGGTGATCACCAGTAATTTGCAAATGAAGAACGTTGTAGGATTGTGTATTTAGAATTGGGCTTCAAATTCGGCATCATGACTTGTCTACTGTTGAACAACGGGTTATTGCATAAGATTGATAATAAGGTGTTGCTTTATTTCTCAGTATCTCCTGACCCTGAGTGAAAGAGCGTGGAATGTAATGTGTACCGTTATACACTATTCGTATAGTCCTGAAACAAAATAAACAGTAGAAAGGCCCAAGAGTCTGGCAATAAATTTTTGGTAAAGCCAAACAGTTTAGCTAAACATACACAATTGACCCGAAATACACATATGCATGGAGAAGTAATGTTGGAGTTGCTCTAATCCAAGCATACTTGACTTAGTCCACACCATGGGGAAGTTTGATTTGTTGCCTGTATATATGATTGCGAACTGTATCAGCTTACTCAGCACATTTTTTTTTTTTCCATAAAATCCATGATATTGTTAATTTCATTGGTGAACAAACCTCCCACTTGTAGAAGTCATGTTGTTCCCCAATCCTGGTCTCTCGTTCTTTCATGATTTTGTGACTCATGTTTATCAATATTTTTAATCGGTCTCTACTGGACTTGTAGATATTTTGACATAGAGGTTGTTGGGAACTTGGGAGAGAGAGAGAGAGAGAGAGAGAAGAAAAAAAAAAAAATATGTGGGGTGTTGGTACTTGGTCGTATTTCCTGGCTTAAATGTCAGTATCAATTTGCAAGTTCCCCATATTTGCTATCATGGAAGGCTTTTACTCACCTTTGAACTGTGAAGTTCATGTTTGCCATTCCATCCACTTTTTGCAGGCCTTGATTGCTCTAAAGAAAGGAGCTCAACTACTAAAATATGGTCGTAAAGGAAAGCCAAAAGTTTATCCATTTAGACTCTCTAATGTAAGACCAATGTACTTTATGCCCTATGATTGCTTGCGTTGACATTTTACTGTCTTTTTTGATATGTTGTACTTAACTATTTTATGTCTTTCTCCTGGAGTGTTTTTGTTTCTTCTCTCATTTACCATCAGTGTTATCCAACTTTACCATTTACAAATTACATGATTTTTCTATTTCTTGAAGTTTATTCGTAGAATTAGGATAGAGATTCTGTATATATAGGTAGATATCTTTCACAAAGAAATCTGACAAATCCATTACCGACCACAGAGGATAAACCGCATTTTTTCAACACTATATACATCAATAGTTTTCTGGTTGTGGACAAGATTGAAACTCAACATAGGTCCGGCAGTGCTATTTAATTGGCTGAAATCCAGATAGTGTCATGCAACCCACGACAAAAGCACTACTATGTACTCCTAAGATAACTAGTCTTCAACTTAAAAAGAAGACAATTATAAATTGTCTACACTGAACATTCTAGAACAATGGAATTTTAAAAGCTAGTATGACCAAAAAAAAAAAGAAAAAAACGAGGGAACTTTAGGTAGCTTCATCTGTTATCTAACATATTATATACCAGATGAAGGAGATGTTGGTACGATCTGTGTACATTGCTTTAAATTTTGTGAGAGGAGAAAAAGATAAAAAGGTTATTATCTCAAGTGTCAGTTACTGAATTGCACCAGAATTTGCCTTATTATAAGTATCTGTTCTGACAAACAGAAGCTAGAAGGCTGAATGTTATGCATGACTTGAGTTTTTGTTAGCAAAATGTAGTTTTCGTTTAATACTGTTGATGACTAAAAATTTCTGTAACATCATAATTCACAACTTCTTGTGGTCCTTATGCTTTTACATTTTCTTCTGCAACTGTAGGACGAAACATCTTTAATTTGGATTTCTAGTAGTGGTGAAAGGAGTTTGAAGTTAGCTTCAGTCTCAAGGATCATCCCCGGACAAAGAACTGTGAGATTTCGCAGACTCACTAATTTTTGCTCGAAAATCCGGAGTTTACTGTTCATTATCTCTAACTGATTCTCGATTTGAATGACATTTGCAAACTTGTTGTTGCCCAGGCTGTTTTCCAACGTTACCTGCGTCCCGAGAAGGAGTACCTATCATTCTCTCTCATATACAACGACGGGAAAAGATCCCTTGACCTGGTTCGTGATTACTCCCACCTGCCCACCGTTTTCCATTTATTTTATATAATTCAGATTTACCCATTTCATTTTGTATTATTCTAGATCTGCAAGGACAAAGTCGAGGCTGAAATCTGGATAGCCGGTCTTAAGGCATTGACATCATCTGGACAAGCTGGGCGCTCCAAAATCGACGGATGGAGTGATGGAGCCTTCTATTTTGACGTGAGTCACACACACACACACACAAATTCTTTTCATCAAATTAATCTCAACCAATCCTTCACCTCCTCCTATCACAACCTCATGAACAAAAAAACACCATTTACAGGACAATTCAAATCTAACATCAAGCAGCCCAAGCAGCAGCTCAGCAAGCGCCACTCGAGGACTCAGCTCTCCCGACCTCTCGACCCACCTGGACAGGTCACATGTAGCTTCTTCTGACCCTTCAACAAGCATGCAGGCCAAAGCAGCATCCAATACCACCAACGACACTCTCCGAGTCAGCGTGTCGAGCGCTCCCAGCACTTCCAGCCACGGCTCTGCCCCCGACGACTGTGACGCTCTCGGCGACGTCTACATATGGGGCGAGGTCATCTGTGACCTCATCGTCAAATCTGGTCCCGACAGAACCTCCGTCAGCACAAGAGCCGATATCCTCTCCCCCCGCCCTTTAGAGTCTAACATCGTCCTCGACGTGCATTACATCTCGTGCGGCGTTCGCCACGCGGCCCTCGTGACCCGAACTGGCGAGGTCTTCACCTGGGGTGAGGAATCCGGCGGCCGGCTCGGCCACGGACTCGGACGCGACGCGGCCCACCCACGTCCCGTC